GAACAAGCCTGTGCCGAAGCAGTACTGTCCTGGACAGCCCACGTTTGTGTTTACCTGATCCACGTGTCATCATATGTCCGTTCGCAGCGACTCGCGCTCGAGGCACCGTCATAGCGGAGGCACTGGCGCTGGGAAAGCGCGTGGTCGCGGCGGCGAGTTGGAGATTGGAGGGCCCCACGTTTATTGGACCATGTTTGGCCCACACTTCTGGAGAGTTTTGGTCATGCGATGTCTTCTGGAACAGGCATGCCTGTGCATCTGGCACTGCCATCTTGACTCGGGCAGATGCGAGTGTGATATAGATGCGAATAGCACGACTCATTGCCTGCAATGGCACTGCATTGCCTGCAATGACACTGCATTGCCCGCGATGACAGGTGCTGCCGGATCATCCTTCCAACGCATACTTCAAGGCTTTCTATTTCCAGTCGGCCTGCTGAGTGTCCAACAGATGTCATCTAATCGCTCTCAACATCCGAACATCCTGAACAGACATGTCAGCTTGTAGGCCGAATGTAATTCTACACAACCTGGAACCGGCACAGATTTCCTCTGCGTGCGCACCGGGCTGCAGAATCATGTCAGACCTACTTCGCCGAGAGATGTCACTTCTTCGACTTGCAGGCAGGAGTGCATCACGTATCCTCAAGTCTGCTTAAAGCCCTAAACTCCTAAGCTCTAAGCTCCTAGACCTTAAAATCCTAAGCCCTAAACTCCTAGGCCCTAAACTCCTAAACCCTAAACTCCCAGACCCTAAGCTCCTAAACCCTAAACTCCTAAGCCCTAAACTCCTAAGTCCTAAACTCCTAGACCCTAGACTCCAAACTCCTAAGCCCTAAACTCCTAAGCCCTAAACTCCTAAATCCTAAACTCCTAAACCCCAAGCCGCAGCTCTGCATTCGGAGGACTTTGGCTCCTTCCAGGCGGCACTGCAGGCTGCGAAGTCATGTTGCTGAGGCTTAACTTCAGCCGGCTTCGAGTTCGGATTTAGGGTACTTTTCATATCCTGGTCCTATTTTTTCCCGAAAGCTTCAGCGAAGGGTTCTTCGGAAAAAAAACGTCAACCTACCATCACCACACTACAATCACCACACTCCAATCACCACACTACCATCACCACACTACCATCACCACACTACAATCACCACACTCCAATCTCCACACTACCATCACCACACTACCATCACATCACTTCCGCTATTAAATTCTCTCTTATTTCTTAGGCTGGGGTGGGTTTCGCCGCGGCTAGCGCGATGCACCCCTCTGCGGGGATCGTGCGTGTCGGAGCGCTCCCGCTGTGCGTTTTTGCGCATTTAGATGTGCGCCCGCGCGCCCTCTGCGGGGATCGCGCGTGTCGGAGCGCTCCCGCTGTGCGTTTTTGCGCATTTAGATGTGCGCCCGCGCGCCCTCTGCGGGGATCGTGCGTGTCGGAGCGCTCCCGCTGTGCGTTTTTGCGCATTTAGATGTGCGCCCGCGCTCCCTCTGCGGGGATCGTGCGTGTCGGAGCGCTCCCGCTGTGCGTTTTTGCGCATTTCGATGTGCGCCCGCGCACCCTCTGCGGGGATCGTGCGTGTCGGAGCGCTCCCGCTGTGCGTTTTTGCGCATGTGGATTTGTCGCCGCGCACCCTCTGCGGGGATCGTGCGTGTCGGAGCGCTCCCGCTGTGCGTTTTTGCGCATTGTACAACTTGCTTCGCACACCCTCTGCGGGGATCGCGCGTGTCGGAGCGCTCCCGCTGTGCGTTTTTGCGTATTTTCAAGCGTGGTCGTGCACCCTCTGCGGGGATCGTGCGTGTCGGACCCTTCCTCACCTCTTCCTCTCCTCTTCCTCTCCTCTTCCTCTGCTCTTCTTTTCCTCTTCCTCTCCTCTTCCTCTCCTCTTCTTTTCCTCTTCCTCTCTTCTTCCTCTCCTCTTCCTCTCCTCTTCCTCTCCTCTTCCTCTCCTCTTCCTCTCCTCTTCCTCTCCACTTCCTCTCCTCTTCCTCTCCTCTTCCTCTCCTCTTCCTCTCCTCTCCTCTTCCTCTCCTCTTCCTCTGCTCTTCCTCTCCTCTTCCTCTCCTCTTCCTCTCCTCTTCCTCTCCTCTTCCTCTCCTCTTCCTCTCCTCTTCCTCTCCTCTTCCTCTCCTCTTCCTCTCCTCTTCCTCTCCTCTTCCTCTCCTCTTCCTCTCCTCTTCTTTTCCTCTTCCTCTCCTCTTCCTCTCCTCTTCTTTTCCTCTTCCTCTCCTCTTCCTCTCCTCTTCCTCTCCTCTTCCTCTCCTCTCCTCTTCCTCTCCTCTTCCTCTCCTCTTCCTCTCCTCTTCCTCTCCTCTTCCTCTCCTCTTCCTCTCCTCTTCCTCTCCTCTTCCTCTCCTCTTCTTTTCCTCTTCCTCTCCTCTTCCTCTCCTCTTCTTCCTCTCCTCTTCTTCCTCTCCTCCTCTTCCTCTCCTCTTCCTCTCCTCTTCCTCTCCTCTTCCTCTCCTCTTCCTCTCCTCTTCTTTTCCTCTTCCTCTCCTCTTCCTCTCCTCTTCCTCTCCTCTTCTTTTCCTCTTCCTTTCTTCTTCCTCTCCTCTTCCTCTCCTCTTCCTCTCCTCTTCCTCTCCTCTTCCTCTCCTCTTCCTCTCCTCTTCCTGTCTTCTTCCTCTCCTCTTCCTCTCCTCTTCTTTTCCTCTTCCTCTCCTCTTCCTCTCCTCTTCCTCTCCTCTTCCTCTCTTCTTCCTCTCCTCTTCCTCTCCTCTTCCTCTGCTCTTCTTTTCCTCTTCTTTTCCTCTTCCTCTCCTCTTCCTCTCCTCTTCTTTTCCTCTTCCTCTCCTCTTCCTCTCCTCTTCCTCTCCTCTTCCTCTCCTCTCCTCTTCCTCTCCTCTTCCTCTGCTCTTCCTCTGCTCTTCCTCTCCTCTTCCTCTCCTCTTCCTCTCCTCTTCCTCTCCTCTTCCTCTGCTCTTCTTTTCTTCTTCCTCTCCTGGAAAGTCGACTTTTGTAGTACAAACGTAGTACGCCGCGGACGCCCGGAGCTGCCGTGGCTGGAAAGTCGACTTTTTGCAGTACAAACGTAGTACGCCGCGGACGCCCGGAGCTGCCGTGGCTGGAAAGTCGACTTTTTGCAGTACAAACGTAGTACGCCGCGGACGCCCGGAGCTGCCGTGGCTGCAAAGTCGACTTTTTGTAGTACAAACGTAGTACGCCGCGGACGCCAGGAGCTGCCGTAGCTGGAAAGTCGACTTTTTGTAGTACAAACGTAGTACGCCGCGGACGCCAGGAGCTGCCGTAGCTGGAAAGTCGACTTTTGTAGTACAAACGTAGTACTTGTAGTACAAACGTAGTACGCCGCGGACGCCCGGAGCTGCCGTGGCTGGAAAGTCGACTTTTGTAGTACAAACGTAGTACGCCGCGGACGCCCGGAGCTGCCGTGGCGGGAAAGTCGACTTTTGTAGTAGAAAGTCGACTTTCTGTAGTACAAACGTAGTACGCCGTGGGACTCGAACTCCGCGGTATCGAAACCCTCGGCGCGGAACTCTGGGGCTTCGAAAGGGTCGCAAATACCGTGGGCGCGGAACTCTGGGGCGTCGAAAACGTCGCAAATACCGCGGGCGCGGAACTCTGGGGCTTCGAAAGCGTCGCAAATACCGTGGGCGCGGAACTCTGGGGCTTCGAAAACGTCGCAAATACCGTGGGCGCGGAACTCTGGGGCTTCGAAAACGTCGCAAATACCGTGGGCGCGGAACTCTGGGGCTTCGAAAACGTCGCAAATACCGTGGGCGCGGAACTCTGGGGCTTCGAAAACATCGCAAATACCGTGGGCGCGGAACTCTGGGGCTTCGAAAACCTCACAAACACCGTGGGCGCGGAACTCTGGAGCTTCGAAAACGTGGGCGCGGAACTCTGGGGCTTCGAAACGTCGCAAATACCGTGGGCGCGGAACTCATGGGGCTTCGAAAACGTCGCAAATACCGTGGGCGCGGAACTCTGGGGCTTCGAAAACCTCGCAAATACCGTGGGCGCGGAACTCCGGGGCTTCGAAAACCTCGCAAACACCGTGGGCGCGGAACTCTGGAGCTTCGAAAACCTCGCAAACACCGTGGGCGCGGAACTCTGGAGCTTCGAAAACGGCGCAGCAAATAGCGCGACGGCTCTCGTGTGGGCGCGCAATCATTGTGGATGACATCTTGTCCTGCGCTCATGCAGAGCTATGCTTTGATCTGTTCACAACATGGCAGCAGGCGCCTCAGGCCATGTGGGACTTTTGCATGCTGGCATGTGTACGTGGTATCACCCCATTGCCGTCATCGCGCTACCATCGCCTCAGCTATACACGGCCTCTCTACACTGCCTATTCTATTCCATCTTCTTTGCGTTTCGCGTCCTTTTCGCTGTCGACGCGACACCTGCTTCCTATCCTACTACACCACACCACGATCACCGCACTGACAACACAACCAACTCTACGTGTCAGTTGATATCTTCGCACTGATTGCTTTCGGGATAATCGGTGTCTAGTTAAATATAAGTATTTCATTGTACCATGATATTGTCATATTTTAACTTTTACCTGCTAATATTACTAGATCATGTATGCTACATGTTCCCATATTCGTATAAACATATTGTTCAGCTTTTGAATCATAATTATGATTAATATTAGTATTAACATTTGAACTTGATTATTATGACTACTATGACTCTTACTATTACTATTACAAGTGTATGCTCTGGTCTTGTTGTTATATTATTATGTAATTCCGTCATTGTTACATTATCTTACTGTTTCTCATGCAATTATAAGAAATATGAACAAAACATATTCCATTATCCATTATTGTATCATTCTTCTATTCTCCCAATTTATTAGATTCTTATACTCTTATATCATTGTAATTTATTATACTTCTTGTATCATTCTGTTCGTATGCTGTTATCCGATTATACGATTAGTTTCGCAAGCTTTAAAACCAGAATCAGACTGGCTCCGGGAATCCGGAAGTGTGTCTGTCCTGAAGTCCGCTAGGCAGCTCTCAGTGCAGAGGGGCCCATGCCGCTGCCTGCTGAGGCTGAGGCCCCCATGGTCAGCAGAGTTTCAAAGAGTAGGGTATAGGGTTAAAGGTTTAGGGTTTGGGGTTTGGGGTTTAGGGTTTAGTTTAGGTTTCTTGGACTTTGGTGCCTTCCTTGCAGGAGAAGCTCGGTTGGGAAATGGCATCGCAGCGGTTCTACGATGCGGCCCAGGCCAGATGTGCGAGGCACTCATGGAGCATGGTCTGATGCAGATGGCTCAGCAGGTGCACGTACTTTCAGGGAGGCTCTCCCGGCCATCAGAGGCGCCAGCAAGATTGCTTTGAGAGGGAGGGGGGGCCGCTTCGTTTGTAACTGCCCTCTAGTTGCCAATTTGTCATGTTGCCGTGTGACTTCCTGCCATTGGGGCAGGTTAGATGGGCAGGGGCTAAGACAAGTTATGTACATTTACCATCATGTACCGTACCTACGAATCCTTTGTCCGCTCTAGTCATTGCAAGCTCAGATCAGTGCAGGCCCGAGGAGCAAAGCTGGCCTACGAACTGCACAGCCGCTTCCAGGCACTGTTTTCACTGCTTGCTTCTCCTCTGAAGGAGCAAATGGCCTCTGGTGACGCTCTGACACTCCTGCTTCCAGTCCTGTCGCAGTCATTTGCGATAGCCGTCTCTAGCTGCACTCGGCTCTTGAAGCTCAGCTTCTTGTCGAGCCGTACTGGCAGCTGTCTGGATACATGACAAGCCGAGTTTTCACACTGCTAGTTAGTTGCGAGAGGTGCAGCAAAAGGTCATGCCTGGGTCATGCCTACACATCGATGCGAACCCTTGTCAAATTGCCTCGTCTTCGCTTGCAGACGGATACCCCGACCATGTATGCAGCGTTGAAGGCTGCCACCTTGAAGGACTGGACGGCACCTTTCTAGGTGAGATTTCTATTGTTATGCAGCGGTCGCTTGCCGGGAGCTAGAGTTTTGCTTGAGCTGCACGTGAGGAATCTGGCTCATGGGATGCAGTGCTGGTGGCCTCCTCAAGTGGTTTTGCTTGGCGGACCAGCTAGGTCTCAGCACAAAGGGCTGACCGATAGTTCCTGCGATGTCCCATATCTCCTGCTTCCCCCACTGCAAATCGGAAGGGCATGTGACAAGCAACTCCTCGTATATCCTCGTCTCTCTGCTATTCGGACAATGCAACATGGCGCTGAGGAGAACAGCCCGGGCAGTGACCTGCTTGCACGGCTGCGGCGCTTCACCACGCTGCAGCAGACTACGGACTTTGACGTGTTGCCGTGACCAGTGTCCATCATCTGCATGCCAGCACTGCGGACAGCGTATAGAGCTTCAACAAGCCCGTTGCGTTAAGTTTCTAGCTTCGAGTATATAGAAGCGTGCTGAAATATGGTCCTGTACGAGCTGATAGGATTCAGAGAGGTCTCACAAAAGCAGAGTAGATAGAGCACCTGCAAGCGAAGTTCTTGCAGGATTAGCAGATTTGGCTGTAAAATGCTTGCCGAACCTGAGCCCATAACTTCCCGAAATCCCGAACCCCTGTTCTGCCAAGTCCTCCTTGCAAGCATGGGGTGTGCCGGAACAACTGCATGGATTATGCTATGGGGTCTGCCAGCTGATGTTGCATCTATCCCCTGATTTCGTCGCGGAAGGTCACGGAGGCAGCGCTTTTTTTGTTCCTGCAGCAAGGGGGTACTTGCAGTCACAACAACTGAAGACGCTGCTGCCATGTTCGGCTTCCCTGCTTCTAGCTGTGGGCTAGGATTCAGCAGTATGCATTGCATTCAAGCCATCGGGCAAAACATCTCTACAAAGATACAGAGCTGCCAGCAGACCACGCATAATTAGCAGAGGCTCTGTGCCATTTCTTTTGGTGAAGCTGTGTTGCGGACAGTGCGGAGAGCACGGATCAACGAGGCCCATTAAAAGTAGTGTGCAGCGCCCTGACGTGTACTGGAGCTCACACCTGAACTCGAATGATCATGGTCTTGAGTGACTAAGTGGCTCTCGATGACTCTTTCGCGCTTCAAAGAGCGGCTGAAGACTGCAGTGCAGTCAAGTCGAAAGCCAGGCTGCAGTCATGGGAGGAGTGACGTCCATCGCAGACTGCGTAGGCCAGGGCCTCCGAAACTCCTTCGAATTCGAATTTGTAGCACACAGGCTGACTCCCCTGCAATTATTATTTTAGCGCGGGTTTTTGGATCGGGTCACATGAATTGAGGGCCACAACTTGGAAGGTCTGATGATTGCACCTGTGGTTACAATGTAAGTTTAGCTATGAAGTATGTTCATGAAGTTCATGCAAATGTTTGGCAAAAGTAGACAAACATGTGCCGAAGCGACCTGCCTTGGCAGCCTTAGCTGTGCCGACACTCTCAGATGTTCTTATATCAAGCATTCTGGATCTGTGATCTCCACTCTTTGCCAACCGCAGCTGCGTGGATCTTCTCCAGGTGAGCGCGAGCTGCCAAAGGTCTTCGGCCCAGCTTTCCAGACACATGAAGATTACGAAAGTATTCCCTTATAATAAAGACCCCAATAGATACCCTTAATTTCGGAAACCCCCATGCAGGCATCTGACCAATCATGGCCGCGTGTACTTACCAACTTGGAAGTTGATGGAGTCTCTCTCCGCCAAAAAATGGTATTTCATGTGGAAAGAACCTTCCAGGTTTCAGTGTGGCGGCTAGAATGATAAGAGCCTGCAAGAGCACGACTTGCATAGCTGAAGCACTGTTCACCAAGGCCCGGCGATTTCCACCCAGCAAACTCCGGGGAGGCCAACGTGAATAGCTGCTGAGAGGTCGTTGGAAAGGACTTCTTCAGAGAGGTTTTCAGTCACCAAAAAGTCTTTTTGATACGTCGTACTTGATCATGTGTGTCATCGCTGACAGTGCACAAAACATCCCCTCACTTCGACTGATGTAAACCATCCTGCGCCGACATCAAATTTACGAGCATGCGCCCGGCTGAAGGTGCCAAAGTGCATAGTTCTCTGATGAGACCGGACCTCTCCGCTGTCATGATACCAGCTGACGCACTCATGCCGCCGTAGCCTTGACTGGGCAGCTTTCTCCCCAAACCTTCTGAGCCCTAAACCATCCTAAACCCAACAATCGTGGAGAGGCTTTGTGGAGTCCATCCTGGAGTCAGACGCATGCACCTAGCCCAGTGAAGTAACCGTGACTGGCCCACTTGCAAGTGGGGATTGCAGTGTCTAATCTTCGTGAACCAAATCCTGCATTGGGTCCCGGATCGCGGTATTGGCTTTCGCAATTTAGGCGTACCTGACAAGCGCTAGCTGGTCCCAAGGCGGATTCAATACCCGATGCGACTGCGCGGAAGCAAGGCAAACTGGGGGGGGGAGGGATGGTCCAGGCAATCCCATCAACTAAATTTGTCGGCTGGCGGACGAAGAAGCTGAACAGTTTATTGATGCCGAGTGTTGGATCGACATGTGCCACATGAAGCCGCACATCATCCTGGGACTTGCCAGTTTTTCCGATGAGCGCCAGAAGTACCGATCGACCAAGACTCGCCGCGATGCACTCCTTGAGGACATCCCATGGGTTGCAGTGTCAGCGCGTCACGCGATCTGCAGTATGTCTAGGGCATTCTTGGGACCAACGCAAGTGAGACAGCCTGGCTGCTTTCTGATCCGGCCAGGAACTCTTTGCTGCGCACGACCTGAACAAGAACGGCCTGCTGGAGGACCGTGTGGATTAGGGTAGTTAGGTCTGTACATTCCGCAAGCCTCCTATGTGGAAGCTTGATCAGCAAGTGCCTCTTAGGAGCTGGAGCTAATCCAGTTGAACAAGAAGATTGTGCTGCCATGGGCTAAGCTGTTGCGAGGTCCGGTCTAACCGCTCTAACTAAGGAGGCAAGTTTCTCGCTTGCATTCGTCTCTTGCTACATGGCCTGCATGGCCACAGACTTTTGTGCAGAGCTGCGAATGCAACCAGGCTTCACTATGGTCGAAACGCGGATATGGAGGCGGTCAAGAAAAAATACCAGGAGCACAGAAAGACAGAACATGTCAACCTCGATGTCCTGTGCTTTCGTTGAACGGTGCATCGTTGAACTCCCCTTCTTCAGGATATCTTTCGCCGAAATCTCAGCGCCACTGGGGAGCCGATTAACTTTCCCATTTTCCGCGACTACATTCATCAGGCCGGCCTGAAGCCAGCCGACCTGGCTGACTTGACATGAGTCCCCAGATGTCTCCAGCACGCAAGGTTCTGAACTCCATCGATCCAGATCCTACCGCCCAAGAGATGATATTGGAGCCTGGATGCTCAGACTTTGCCACTGCCCAGAAGAAACTTCCAACTCGGATCTCTCCTATGGTCTGAACAGCTACCAGTAACCTAGATGCAAGAGCCAACCATGTTCCGTGCTGCACGAGATCATGGCCTACCCCGTTGTTCAGAACCAAAACTCCCACTTTGCACTTTCTCGACGAGGTGCTGTCACAAAGTGAAGGCTTGTTTCACTGAGTATCCACCGCAATCGTGCAAGTTTCACAAGTCGCACCTTTCGTGTCGCAGGGCTATGCACCCGCTGCAGACATCGCAGCTTGCGTGCTTCTGAGGCAGTGGCTAGCAGAGGCTCAAGCTGCTCGAGCCTCAGTGGTACCCCATAAGGTCAGAAGACTTTTCAAAGAGATATGAGTGTGTGCTTTCGAACTTCCTCTTTGGCATCTGATCTGCGATTCCCTGATGTTGTGGCAACATTGCATTGGTTGGTAAGGCTCGCCTGATGTTTCATATGCCATCCGTGATGAGCGTTTCTGCACTGCCCCAAGATACGGGCAGGGGCTTCGGTGAGGGGATTTCGAGGGTTGCAGGACTGTCGGGCTTGATCTGGGCCGGAACAGGGGTCTGTCGCAGCTTTGCACATACTGTACAGTAGGAAGAGTTGAGCAGTCTGGCATTGCTGATGTGTGTGTGCCGGGGGTCCTGTGCTAAACTGAGGATTTACCTTTCTTGTCAACGATTTCCTTCGACCAGGACCCACTCTCAGCTGATGCGCACACTTTGCCGGCCAGAGTGACGACCAACCATTGCGAACCTGGCAGACGTTGCGCTTGATTTGCAAATGCCTGGGCAGCCTCGAAAAGAAACACGCGCGGGAGAGATCCGAGAAGGCATAAGGCCGCCCAAGTTGATCTTACGGGCTGTGGGGCGATGAGTCTCGGGGGAGGGGGGGGAGGATCTGAGACCTCCAAACTTTGATGCCCAAACGGTGTGTAAATTCGCGTGACGATTTCCGACACCACTTGCTGCGTTTCTCAGCCCCTCCTCATGAGTAATTCTGATTTCCTCACGGACTTCCTTATTTCCGACTTTGGCTCCCTGACATCCCGTCGCTCGTTCATACGTGCCTGGGCTGAGTCGGCCAGAACCTATACACGCATGAGGAATCCTCTCTTAATCTTGCTGAAGCCTTAAAGGCACTAACTCGTAAGCCAAGAGGGAAGCATCTTAGCCGTCAAAGGCTGAGCTCATTGCAGAAGTTGTTTCCCACAGCATTCCCACAGCACAACTTGAAGGAAGACTTGCAGAACAAGCCTTCAAGCCTGGAACCTGGATTTTGATGATTTTGATGCTGTGCATCAACAATCGTCGATGTGAGTCGATCACAACTGCTGCGGTGAAGTGCGGTAAAGCGCTGATGGCCGAGACATGGCCTTCCCAAAACCTGCTGCTGGCTGAGGCCGGCACTCAGTGGAAACTGCATCCACTACGGCATCGGTTTCCATGTGCAAAGCTTAGACTACAACACCTGCAGCACAAGTCGCTCAGAAACCGTGCTGTCACCCCTGGTCATGATCCCATGTGCATCAAGAATGAGACACGCCGCTGGCAAGCCCGAGGCCAGTTGTTACATCAAGAGCGCCTGCTGGGGCCTCGACTGGGGGCACTTTGCAGGCTGTTGCGCTGCCGGGTCCCATTACAGACTTTGCCAAGGTGCGCTGCAACTCCTTCGTTCATTTCGGACCACCGACAGAGGAGGAGAAGGCGTACATGCGACCGTGGACCTGCCTCTCGGCAAGCTCACTACATTTGCAGACTATAAAAGAGAGAGAGGGCTGGTGTCACAACTGTCACAACTTCCCTGTGTTGCCATTTAGTAGCAGAAGCCGTCAGGAAGAATCTTGTTTCAGGGTTGGGTTTCTTGCGCTTCTTGGTCAAGAAGTGTCGAGATGCTCGGGTTATGCTAGGGTTTGGCTCTTCAGTTTCTTTCTGACTCCATTAAATCCTTTCTCCTGGGAGACCATCGCCCTTCCCAGCAAAGGTTGTCCAGAGTGAGAGAGCATTGAGAAGGCCACAGGAGCACCGGCCAGTTTCTCGGTAGCAGATCAACGCCCTGTAGCAAACCTGCCTCGACTGTGCATAAGCAGTCCACGTGAACGGCTAGTACGCCTTTCTCCCCTGTCTTTCTCAATGCCAGAGTGTCCAGCACCACTCACTGGTCGGTATGCAACTGTAGCGAGTTGTAACTGCCTGAGCGACGTGGCAGCAACGGTCAGAGTTTGGGAGACTTTAGTAACAGTATGCTGCCACGGTAATTGTGGGGCTGAGTAGCTCCTGGGCTTTCTCACGCATCGTTTAACAGGCACAGTCTGCAAGGTCGTAAGGACAATTAGCCATGCGGTTCTGACGCCAAAGTCTGAAACCGCACTTGCACACTAGGTTACGGCAGGCCAGCATCCAGCAGTCTCATAGCAGGCTTCAAGTGACTACTTTTTTCAATGTCTGCACAAGCATGGCGAGTGGTGTCTTAATAACAGGCTGACTGCCGATTTCGGAAATCTTGCATTCGCAATGCGGCAAACTGCCAGCTTGCATCGCTAGACTTCCTGAGTCACCACACCTTTATTGCACCTCGTCATTCAGTAGATCATGCCGCGCAGTGACGCGGCAGAACCTCTGCTGACGAGAAGCTCGTGTGTATACGTAGGGCGGCGATCCGCTTGTATCACTGCTAATGCTGGTAGGTCGAACCAGCGAATCTGGCTGCATTCTGCTACAGCTTAAGGTTCGAAGAACAAATTTTCAGAATCATCATCATGTCGTTCAAAATTCTGCAATCTTTTTTCAATATGACTAAAGAATTTGAAGAATGAATGATATTCTTTCTGATCTTGTTCGTAATCGAATCAATGAGGAAAAACAACTTTGCTTTTTAGAATGAAGGG